GAAGTTTTAAGAAATCGTGCAGACGAGAGGAATGTAATTTTTATTTCGAATTCTACTGCCGCAAACCCTTGTTTTCGGGTGGGAGTATTGGCCTTGGCCTGGGCAGTTGTTTGGGCCCCAAAAGTCAAAAGTAAAAATCCCTTTAGTTTTCGCTGTTTATGAAAAATGAGCACTAGAAATGGCCTGAATGGTAGCAAGTCTAAGCTGATAGGACTTTGGACGGTTTTACGAGGGCTGCCTGGAAGCAAGCTATTGTCCTTTTTTTACTTCAGACTCGCTTGGATTATCATCATTTAGTCCTAGATATTACTAAGCTGTAAGCAAACACTTGATATTGCTAAAATTCAAACAAATTACGCCGTTTTTTCTTGGATCCAGGGCCTTCTTCGGTAGGTGCCGAAAATTTTTCACTTGCAAGAAACATTTGTTAAGATTTTTGCCGTTGCTAAAAATACTTGCTGTACACGTTGAGTATCACCATCTCTTCTCGAAAGTTGCTACTCATAGACCTCAATCCAGGCATATTACGATTTGGAGCCAACAAGGTCTTATTCATTAAAAAAAATGTCCTGGAAATAGTTATGCCTTTTATATATCATATTGCCACAGGTAATGCCATTGGACATACTGTGGTACCATAAAGGCCGATATTGTTACGCCCAGCATTTAGCTATACATCAGCAGCATTAATCTTTATTCAGAATACTGACAGCTTTCACAGGTCTAACAAATAAGCCATGGTGACATTTGCAGTAGTGGTTATTTTGCAGTGCTTATTTCGCCTAGCACCACCATTCAGTGCATACGACTGGCCAACGAACAACATTGAGATTGGTATCGGTGGCGTCCACCAACAGCATAACGTAACTGTTGCACTACAATTAGCCAAATTATGGCTTGAAAAAACTAACAGACAAGGTAAGTTGAACTGATTCTTAGTATCTTGATATTTTGAAGCCAAGGCTCAGGACTGTTGTATTTTTGTTTTCTTCCGATCTATATTTATACTGTTTTTTTCGGCGTTTGAGTATGTGTTTCTTTCACTTCACTTTTACTCATTTATGTTTATTTATTAAACATAAGCCTAAGCAACAAAAACTTCACACGGTCGGCGGATCTTAGTAATCTTGTTGTTTTATTTCGTGAGTGATCCGATGTGATAAAGCATGTTTAACCGCGCGCAATTAGCTTCCGGAATTCCAGATCGATACGACAGGTGACCATGATAATTGTGGTGACTTCAAAAAAAAGCATTTTCAAATTATTGTATCTCATTGACACAAATGCTTCATACCGGCTATCCAGACAACTTTAATAGTTTCGGTGATCAATCAGTAAATGCCACTTTTCAAAAGAATCTGTGATTCAGAAATTTTTAAATGTTTTCTATCAATGGGAGATAAGTTTGGTGACTATATAGTACCCATAGTTGCACATGTCACACACCAACAAAAAAATCTAGTTGTATGGAAGCATTGACTTTCGCGGGGAATCCACGAAAAGCCGGCCAAGAAGCCGCCACAAAGAAAAAAGGAAGAAATATTGCCCTGCAAGGCCGATGCACAGTAGACGTGCTGCCAGGCTGAAACTGAAGCGCAAGGGCTGGTGGTGTGGTGGTAACACATTG